CAGCACATCGGACAGTGACACACTGATTCTGAAAGACTATGTAGGTACCTGGTGCTGGGCACACACAAATGCGGCGAAATCCCTTCCAAAAGTAAACTGTCGCAACACCCTCGTCCAACACATAGTGCATCAAAATGCTTGGACAAGAAGGCTCCGCAGCTACTGTGGCACTGCTGGTAGAGTCTGCACGCCGTTTGACGAGCGCATGCACACTGTAGCAAAACAGTGCTGAGCACTTGGACAAGCACAATCTGGAACACTGTCAGATTGAAACAAGAGATGAACTCCTCGTCCAGCACATCGGACACTGGCGCACTGATTCCTAAATAAGTATAGATGGCGAAATTCCTTTGAACAGTAAGCTGTCGCAAAGCCCTCGTCCAACACAAAGTACATGACAAGAAGGCTCCGCAGCTACTGTGGCACTGCTGGTAGAGTCTGCATGCCTTATGACGAGTGCATGCACACTGTAGCAAAACAGTGCTGAGCACTTTGGCAGGTACCCTCTGGAACGCTGTCAAAGCGAGGGGGGGGGGGTTCGAAACCCTCGTCCAGCACATCGGACAGTGACACACTGATTCTGAAAGACTGTGTGGGTACCTGGTGCTTGGCACGCACAAATGCGGCGAAATCCCTTCCAAAGGTAAACTGTCGCAAATCCCTGTTCCAACGCATAGTGCATCAATGCTTGGACAAGAAGGCTCCGCAGCTACTGTGGCACTGCTGGTAGAGTCTGCATGCCGTATGACGAGCGCATGCACACTGTAGCAAAACAGTGCTGAGCACTTGGACAAGCACAATCTGGAACACTGTCAGATTGAAACAAGAGATGAACTCCTCGTCCAGCACATCGGACACTGGCGCACTGATTCCTAAATAAGTATAGATGGCGAAATTCCTTTGAACAGTAAGCTGTCGCAAAGCCCTCGTCCAACACAAAGTACATGACAAGAAGGCTCCGCAGCTACTGTGGCACTGCTGGTAGAGTCTGCATGCCTTATGACGAGTGCATGCACACTGTAGCAAAACAGTGCTGAGCACTTTGGCAGGTACCCTCTGGAACGCTGTCAAAGCGAGGGGGGGGGGGTTCGAAACCCTCGTCCAGCACATCGGACAGTGACACACTGATTCTGAAAGACTGTGTGGGTACCTGGTGCTTGGCACGCACAAATGCGGCGAAATCCCTTCCAAAGGTAAACTGTCGCAAATCCCTGTTCCAACGCATAGTGCATCAATGCTTGGACAAGAAGGCTCCGCAGCTACTGTGGCACTGCTGGTAGAGTCTGCATGCCGTATGACGAGCGCATGCACACTGTAGCAAAACAGTGCCGAAAAAACTGTGAAGCACACGTCCACTCGATCAGCCTCGCGATTTACGGCGGAAGGTCATCCATCCTAAGCCCTACCTAGAAACCCAGTGATTATTCATATCTCTAAAATGCCAACCACAATCATGAGGGCATAGAGGCTAGAGTATGTGCGCCTTGCGTAAAATCGCCATGGCGCATGAGCCTGAAGCTAATCACATTGACCAAAGGCCACGAACCCTAAATCCGCGATCTTGCACCTCAACTTCTCAACAACATCCTAACCTCTAAAGCGTGCATATAGCAACTCTCACAAAGTCACAAACTGAACCCCACACCCTATGAAATGGGGGGGGCCCTAAAGCCACAGCCGTTTCAACTCTTGCCTTGAGCTTGCGCTGAACATCTTTAGCGCGGCTGTACCAGGTGTCCTCACCTGCCGGGCTTCATTGGGAATGAGGAACCTAAGGTTTCTTGAATGAAGTCGGGTACCAAGGTGCGGTTTGTTTGCTTGCCGTGTTTGCTGTTCACTGCCTGAACCAATCCCTGGGCGGTGTCCGCTGCACATATGGTACATGGCGGGAAGCAATCAGGCCATAATTATCAACCCCAACACTTATTGTGATTCTGGGGCCCTGGTTGCTATTGACCTGCAGTTATTCCGTAATGCCGCATTGGACCCTTGAAGCTCTCGCTCCTTGCTACAACTTACAGCTGCCGAGCGAAGCATTGTGGCAGGCGTACTTGCTGACTGGCAACACTTATACTTGCGTTAGTGCATCTAATGAGAGCTTGCTCTGCACAAAGGAGCATGTATCTTCCAGCGAGGATTGATCCTCAAAAATCGTTCCCTGTGGGTTGAGCGCTCCCGTCCCCGAAGACGCTCAGAAGCCTGGGGAACGCTTCATGCGATGTGACGCGTCTCATCTCAGTAGTGCTCTCCGTGACCAGATTGACTGCTTGGGACTTCATCGCGGGGTCAGTTCAGCAGTCGGTTTGGCTATATCGAAAGGTCAAGTGGTCTAGCACATGTACATGCTGTCCCTCCCACTGCCCCGTGACCGAACAGAACCCCGAAACCCCCAGACCCATCTCATCCTGGCCTTGCCGGCGATCTAATGCTTTCTCCATCAGGCTCACGACCTTTGACAGGACTGAGCTCTTAGAACATGAGCCCAAGTATCAAAAGTTCATCTTTCAGGGTACTCCGCATTGCCATTGCAACTAGCGAGCGAAAACAGCATGAACGCGATTCTGCAGTGCTTTGATGCTTCATGCTCCTCGAGCTGTTTGCTTTTGGCAATGCCCTGACGGAAGCAGGTTTTGCGACCACGTTTGCGCATGTGTGGGGACTGCACGGCTGAAATGTGCTTCAGCTGGGAAGTTGTGCAAGTAGCCCCCCCTCCCCCCCGCGCCCAAACCTTTAAACCTTTACTCCCAAACCAGCATCCGCGAACAGCTCTAGTATCAAGTGCGCAGACGCCCACTCATGAGCGACAGGCGACCCTGACAGACATGAGCACGCAGCTGGAACATGATGCGTTCCGACCCTTAAGCTCAAAGGGGTGTTGAATTGTGGCTTGTTTGGTAGCGGAAACTTCATCAAGACATACCGCACGAGACCCAAGACCCCCTTGTCAGTGACCACACCACAACGACCTCAGACCAGCAACCGCCTCAGCATGAAGCCTCCTAGCCCCATGATAACCCCAAGCGCCCCAAACCCTCAAACTTGAGTTCAAGCACATACAGCCCAAAGCCCTAAACACCCAACTCCCGAAACGTAAGCCCTTTACACCCTGAAACCCTTAGCTACCAAACTTAGCCCCTAAGCCCTCGAAAGCTTAAAGCCCCCCTGAAAACCCCTCCTATAAACCCTAAACCCTAAACCCTACACCCTAAACCCCAAACCCTAAACCCTGAACCCCTAAGACGTAAACTCCCTTTAAACGCGTAGGGTCCCAAACGGGCAGCTCCTGGTTCGGGCCTGAGAGAGTGATCGGGTTCAGGGTTTAGGGTTAAGGGTTAAGGGTTAATTGCTGGGGTTTAGGGTTCAGGGTTTAGGGTCCAGGGTTTAGGGTTTAGGGTTCAGGTTTAGGGCTAGGGTTTCTGGTTTGGGGTCCTGCGTTGTGTTAGGTATATCTGTGGCTTTTGGGTTTAAAGGCTTAAAAGGCTTCGAGGTTGAAAGATGAGAGGGAAGGGTTGAGGAGCGAGGCTTTTAGGATCTTAACGCTTTACAGAACGAAGGGATCGCCAGGGTTGGGGGCCATTTGAACCAGTTCAGGGCTCAACAAGCTTCAGGGGCTTCTAAACCCTAAACCCTAAACCCTAAACCCTAAACCCTAAACCCTAAACCCTAAACCCTAAACCCTAAACCCTAAACCCTAAACCCTAAACCCTAAACCCTAAACCCTACAGGGTTTCTAGGATTCGTCGCGCTCATAAGATCCATAAAGCTTCGTGGAGTTCATCGGGTTTCATGGATGCTTCATGGTGTTTGGGGCTCTGGGCTTATGGGCTTATAGGGTATGGGAAGAGTTTAGCGGTCCCAAGGGGGTCCAAGGGAACGTCCAGGGTTTTTGGACCTTGGCTTTCAATTGTCTAAGGAATTTAGGTCTTGCGTAAGGGTTTAGGGATTTACGGGTTTAGGGGTGTAGGGGATCCAGAGGGGTTCGGGGTTTAAGATTGGAGCCCAATTGAGGTTGACCAGCCCGGAGGAACGCGCCCACGCCTTCAACTTTGAGCTAATTGAAGACTCGCGTAGCAGGACTTTTTTACCCCTAAACCCTAAACCCTAAACCCTAAACCCTAAACCCTAAACCCTAAACCCTAAACCCTAAACCCTAAACTACCCTAAACTACCCTAATAAGCCCTACGTATGAGCTCCCGAGAGGCCCAGGGCGGGCTTGAGCAGGTAGTTCACTGGCACACCCTGGCATGACCCAGGCGCAGATGGCAGCAAAGGTGCTACTATGGGGGTCGGAATAATTGCTAACAGTATTCCCTTATGGTCCCTTTGAAATATATATTATACCCCTAATTACTAATAATATTCCCTTGTGGTCCCTTTGCATATTTTACGCCTAATTACTAAGAATATTCCCGTATGGTCCCTTGCAACTATATTGTACCCCTATAGTAGACAACAAGGCCATGAGTGGCGATCCACTTACCTGCACATGGATGTCAGGTGATACGAGCCCTGGATTGCAGTTTCTTGTGTTGCTTCTGAAGCAGATGTGCGTTTCTGCCCGATGCTACTGGTGTCCTCCCTAAGAATGCCATGAAAGCCATGAGAACAGCCGCGGGCCAGACTTGTTTTGCAGGTTCCGCGTTGACCGCTTAACAGCGCTTGCAGCCTCCACAGCATCTGCACAGAGGCACAAAGCAACGCAATCAACCTAAGCTCTGCATGACCTCCGGCACGGAAAAAAAAAAGAACGATCAAGGTTCCCTGTGATGTGGGAAGCACGTTGGCCAGGAAAGGCCTCTAAGCCCGCGCTTGCTGGCCGGGCGTTTAAATCCATGCACCACGGTCCTGACAGCACTTGTAGGGGCTAGACAGGCCTGACTTATGCGTAGGTATAGTGCTCAAGGGCTTCCAAGCTGCGTTAAGAGACCCAAAGCGTCACTTCAGAGATTGCCATGGTGCCGCCAAACCAATTCCGATTTCAGAGCCCGCGAGCCGGCATTTACCAGTCCACTTGCTCACGCATTACGTTGCGGTCGATGCATTCAACGCTGCTGCGGTAGTACTCCGGAACGACCTGGTGGGTTCAGGGATCTTGCTTTGTGGCTCCACCCCCCCCCCCCTACCCTACCTCTTTACAGCCTCGATCCCCGTGCCTCGCCATCCGTCCCAATGGATGTCACGATCCTGCCGAACTTCTGTGGTTGCGGGCACTTTGGAGGTTCGTGGGGTAGTTGTGTGTTTGTCGCTGAAGTAGCAAAAAAGGTAGGGTCGCTTCTAGCCCATGCTTGCAAAGCTTCATTTAGGGCTCAAGTTATGGTTCCAGGACGCACCTCGGGGTCTTGAAGGGTGCATGGTAAATGGGAGTTGGCCCACATGTAAGCTCTTGCGAATAGTGAATAGCACTCAAAGATCAGTCGCACCATTCTCCGAAGAGTAGGATGTTGTTTGGCATCTGAACCCCACACCCGAACGCTACATACAGCCTGTATACCTCATGCCCCCACCCCCAGCAAGCAGATGCTGTCCTCAGACCTCCACCGCTATTCGCCTTCCATCTCCCGCCAAACTTTGTGAACTACACACTGGCTCAACATATCCGTCCCAAAAAACAGCCCTCAGGCAGGTTCCCTTGTCGTAAGGGTTCCTCTTTACCTTCATGTGAATCTTGAAGTAGGCGGCCTTTGGGGTCCTCACCGGGCTTCAGAGCCCGAATCCCCGGTTCAACCCCGAAACCTGAAACTTACACAAACAAAAAGCGCCCGGAAACCCTATAAATAGCCCTAAAGACCCCAAACCCTTCGCCCTTCACCCCCCCCGCCCCCCCCGGCCCAAATCCCAAAACCAGTTGTCAGTTGGGGCACAAAAGCGTCCAAAGTCCCAAAACTCCAAACCCTCAGCCCCACTACCCCCCTCTCCGCCCTCAGGCCAAACCCAAAACCTCAAATCCAGCCACCAAATTCGAGTGGTCCAGCTGGGCGAGTAGAGGAGGTCCCTCTTCCAACACCTTCGCCTGGCTTCGAGCCGACAACAAAGCGTCGGCTGCTCGGGGTCGGCCCCCTTTAGGGTTTAGGGTTTAGGGTTTAGGGTTTAGGGTTTTGGGAATTAGGGTTTAGGGTTCAGGGTTTAGGGTTTAGGGTTAGGGGCACAGAACGAGTTCGGGCAGGGCCGACCTTGCAGTATGTATGGATGCTCGAAGGCCTCAATCCAAAACACCCGACCACTCAGCCCCAGAGCCCGGTAAACCCTATGAACGCTCAACGCCCTCTAAATCCTAAAACCCTGAAGCCTTGAAAGTACTTCAGCGCCAAACGGTGTACCGCCAGGCCTTGGGCTCTGCATCACTTTGGGGTATAAGGTACGCCCGGTGGGCAGGGTTTAGGCTGTCGGGTCGCCTGAAGCTCTTGGTGACGGTTTGACCTCGTTGGCGGCCGCAGATTTTCCTTGCTGCGGGTGCAGGGTTTTTCTTTCACCGAGGCCCTTGCGAAGCCGTATTTGACACGCAGTGTACCAATTACGATGTTCATCAGCTAGTTTACAGAATGAAGGCAATATGTTGACGTCGGTTGAGGAAGCAACAACTGTGCTGGTTTGCAGTGTTTGGGATAAGTAGTCAGCCCTAACAACCTTAAACCCCAAAGTCCTCCGAGGGTGGGCCAGGGCAGGAGAGTATCGGTGGTTTCGTTGATTGAGTTTAGGGTTTCGGTGGTTGGGGTGGGAAGTCTGTGGCGCGCCTACATCCTAAAATCTAAACACCCTATAAGCTCAAAAAGCCCTTTAAGCCCCATGGCCTACGGAAAGTCTCTGATCCTAGGGTAGTTACATGGTCTTTGAAATGCCCCTTATCTACCCTATACAAATCAAGGGCGCATACATCAGAACCCTTTCAAGAAGGTCAGGGACCATATTAAGGGCCCATGAAACTACCCTCAGAGTCAGACGAGCATCTGCATACCTATGAGGAGCACGTCCTCGTCACCGTCCAGCTGCCACTCCCCAGTCGCTACAAGGTAGTTCTCCCTTTCCTTTGTAGCGTGCACAGGGTTGAGGTTCATAGAGGCTGTATGGGATTTAGGGTTTGGGCTTTATCGTGCTTTATCGGGTTTAGGGTTCAGGGTTTAGGATTTATAGGGCTTGGGGATAGGTGAGCGTAGTGAAGTTTCGCGCGGCTCGCGGTTGCAATGATGAAAACGGATGCATTTCTCGATGGAGAAAAAACTGAAGCAAAGGACCTCAATCGGTTTGTCATGAGGTATTGAACGAGTGGTTGGGTTATTGGCCGTTGTTTGTCAGCTCGTCCGCCGTCAGCTACTGGAACTCCAAGTGCCCCAAGCGCGTGCAGCCATGAGCCAAGCTTCTAAGCAGTCTTCTTCCGGCATGCCACAGTGGTTCGAATGAAAGTGGCGGTGCAGCTCAAAAACACCGCTGCCGAAGAAGCGAAGGCGCTCCTCCTCCCACTGATCATCCAGGTAGCCTGCCAGGCGAATGAGCAGATGAGCGCTGGGCTCCAGCAGACAAGGCATTGATAGATGGACAGGTTAGCAGCCAATGCCTGCAAACAGGTGCGCAAGCCCTGAAACCTAAGCCATGCACAAGATACGAAGCGCCGAAACTGCAAAGCCAGACCTGGATCTACATGCGCATCCCAGAAGACCAAGCCAGCAGGACTCCACCCGCCAAACGTGGGGTAGCGGGGGGGGGGGGGGTACCCCGAACCGTAAACCCTAAACCCTCAACCCTAAACCCTAAACCCTCAACCCTAAACCCTAAACCCTCAACCCTAAAACCCGAAACCCCTAAACCCTAAACCGCAGCTCGCTCTGGCTGTCAGAGTCTCCTGGAAGCTCGTTGAAGGAAGCCGCCCGCCGGAAGCACTTCTCACTGCACCAGGTCGGCCCCGCCTTCGGACAGGCAAAAGAGTTACGGGCCCTGAATGAAGGGTTTGGGGTTTGGGGTTTGGGGTTTGGGGTTTGGGGTTTGGGGTTTGGGGTTTGGGGTTTAGGGTTTAGGGTTTAGGGTTTAGGGTTTAGGGTTTAGGGTTTAGGGTTTAGGGTTTAGGGTTTAGGGTGTAGGGTTTAGGGGTTTAGGGGTTAGGGGTTAGGGTTTAGGGTTTAGGGTGCAAAGTTTAGGCCTACATAAACCATGTCCGGGCCTTCAGAGCCCGATCCTACAAGCCCCTCTAGGCCGCATTCTGCCCTTGAACCCTCGAACCCTAAACCCTAAACCCTTAAACCCTAAAACCCTAAACCCTAAACCCTAAACCCTGAACCGTAAACCCTAAACCCTAAACCCTTAAACCCTTAAACCCTTAAACCCTAAACCCTAAACCCTAAACCTTAAAGGTTGATAAATCCTGAACTATAAGCCCCGCATCCGAGAACCCATCAGCCCCACAGGCTCTCTAAGCACCAAAACATGGTTTTCCCTACACTATACGCCCTGCACACCCTATACGCCCTAAACCCGAAATAGCCCTATAACCCTCATAAGCCCTAAACTCTAAACTCTAAACTCTAAACTCTAACCCGAAAACCCTAAACCCTGAAACCTAGACCCGATGAGCCCCAACCCAGGGGCGCCTGCACCACTACGCGGACCTCCGACCCTGCCACCTCGGAGGCAGGCGTGTGGCCTGCAGGGGAATCCAGATTCAAGGGGTTTTGGGGTGGGGTTTGGGGTTTGGGGTTGATTGTTGGACTCGCTTCAGTATCCAGGGGCCTGCCCCCCAAACAATTTTGGGGTATTTCGGGGATCCTGAATAATCTTGGTCGGGGGCTGGGGGTAGGGCGGCGGCTAGGGGTCGAGGGTTCAATGAACCCCAACCTTCACCGCCTGAAGACCGATCATCCGACAGCCCACCTGCCAGCAGCTCCGGCGTCTCTTGCGTGCTTCGGAAGTAGCACAGGGGGCTGCGGCTGCCCACTCCCTGCCACCCAAGCCCACAGCTCTGAAGTTTTGGAGTATAGGGTTTAGAGCCCAAATCGGTTTGGGGTTTGGGGCTTGGGGATCAGGGTTATGGCTGAACCTTAAACCAAATAACAACAACCCAAGCACAAGCCTTCAATAAAACACACACCCCCCCCCCCTCCACCCCACCCCCGGCAACCCCCATTAATCATCTAAAAACCCACTGATATATTTGTCGGCTAAAATAGAATCGGATCCAGCTTGAGAGCGTCAACATCAATCCGAAAACGAAACACACAGCAACAAAAAAAAAACAAAACCGCAAAAAAACGATGTCGAAACCTCCCCAAACAATCCCTAAACCCTAAATTACTAAACCCTAGACCCTAAACCCTAAACCCTGAACCCTAAAATTCCTGGAGCCCTCCAAAAGCCCTGCTGGCTCCTCCAGGGCTTCGCTGATCTGGCGCCGGAGGCTTTGCAGCTTGTCAGCTGGTCGGCAGATGATCGTTGCGCTGTTGCCATTCCTTAAGGGCACCACTGTACATCCCCCCCCCTAGAACCCTTTAAAGGAGCATATCCCCTCTCTAGGACTCTTTAGATATATCCTCCTATAGAACCCTTTAAGCTGCCTTTAAGGGAGTGTGCGGCCTGGGAGACCAGGGCGGTGCATTGTCGCCCTCGCTACATGACCATCAACCTCCGGGAGTGGAGCGCTATGGAGGTAGCCGGTAGTGTGCAGAATACACACTGCGGTTCTGGTAAAGAACCTCTCGATGCGATGGAGGGTCATCAAGCTCACCTCAAAGGACACGTCCTCTTCCTGGCCAGTTCTTGCTGCTTAGAGCTTTAAAGTTTCGAGGTTTATGCGTGTACACGTGGCGGTTGTTCTAACCCTTGATGAGACTGGCCCTTGGCCACAGGTTCTCCCTCAGCGCCCTCTCTTCCCTAAAAGGGCTTCTCATGTTGGGTTAATAGGGCGAAAACGACGCCTTCACCCCGAACCGACATCCGGTCCTCGGCGGCATCCGCCCTGTCGGCCATTGGGGCCATGGGTCGGTAAGGGGCCACAACGCATCTTGAGCTGGCGAGCCGCGGTTGTGGTTAGGGTTTGAGGCTTTGGGATTTTGGGGTTTAGGGACTTGAGGGCTCAGGGTGTAAGCGAATGTGTGGGCTTTTGAAACCTTTTGCAACTCTAAATCGGGGGTTCAGGGCTGTTTCCCACAGCCCCGAACCGCTCACTTCCCATGGTTCGGCCCTGAAGCCCTCAGCCACACTGTTCGATTCTAGGGTTCAACTTGGGCCCTTCAACTTTCAGCTCTCACACCCGTAACTCTGTGAGCCCCGAAGCCATGAAACCCTCAACATCCCCACGCCCTGAACTCTATCAAAAGCCCTAACCTTCCCTCGCTAGATTCCCACTGTCCCGAAGCCCTTAACCCCTGAACTCCAGGCTCTACTAATACGACCATAACATATACTGATATGACTTAAGAGTGATGATAACATAACTCCCAGAAACCCTAAACCCTAAACCCTAAACCCTAAAACCCTCAACGGCAGGTGGGACAAACCTCGCAGCCGGAGCCCAAGTCGTGGATCCTGGCGGCCCAGTAGCGCTGATCCTGATGAGGCTGGGCTCAGCTTTGATTGGGGTTAGGGGTTTGGGGTTTGGGGTTAGGGGTTTAGGGTTTGGGGTTTAGGGGTTAGGGGTTCGGGGTTCGGAGTTTAGGGTTTGGGGTTTAGGGTTTGGGGTTTGGGGTTTAGGGTGTGACATGAACTTGGAGTCGGTTTGTTCCGTAGGCAGTGACCCAGCTGATGTTTGCATTCAGCACATGAGGTTAAAATCATCTCCCTAGTTTGGCTGTACAATGCTCATCTAATGCCCTCAGCCCTCAGCCATGCGGGCGTCTGTGGCTGAGAGACAGTTGCGAGGGGTTGGCACTTGCGAAGAAAAACTTGCAGAGAAAGTTGAGCTGAGCATGACTAGAAATCGGCAATTGAGTTTGGGATTTGGGGGTTTGCGGTTTAGGGTTTTGCGGTTCGTGCAGCTCAAGACCCAGGATTCATGCACTTTGGGGTTTAAGCTTGAGGTTTTAGGGTTTTGAGGGCTTTGCTATGAGGACTTCAAATTTTGGGGGTCAGGGTTTGCGCTCAGCATCCTTGGCACATCGCATTGGCACGTTGACCCTCCTTGTGGGCCTTGTAGCTCACATGCTCCCCCTAAGCTCATAAGCCTAAGCCATAAGCCTTCTGCCCAAAGACGAGGCAAGGAGCTTGTGCACGCTGCCTGTACATGAGGCTAGATGCAGGCCAGGCCCTCCCGGCGAATATGCAGAGGACTTGCGCCGGGACGTGTCACGTAAGGTAGCACAAGGCCCTTTGAAGCCTAGAAAAAGTCAGAAGATGACATCCCAACAGTGGAAAATACAAGACACAACCAGCGCCACAAAGGGCGCGAGCTTTGCACCAACCTCTACACCCCATGATTCTCGATGCCACAGCAGGACATTCTAAGACCCTCAAGCCAACCGTAAACCTGTCGACTTTCAAGTCCCTGGCCATGAGTAAGATGCCGCTGGTCACAACCGGAATGCCTGCCTCAGTGCCAGTGTGGCCGGCGATCCATTTTCTGACGAAGGTTGTCGGGATCTTTTGTAAAACATAGCAGGGCTGAAGCCCTCACCTTGAAAGCCTTGTGTCTCTCCCTCTCTCTCTCTCTGGGTTTGAGGGCTTCTTGTGCCGGATGGATTCCCAGTCCCTGAAAGCCAGGGTATGGTTCAGGGTATGTGGGGGTTTACGAAAGTAGGGGACCCCAACGTAGATCCCCAAATAGTAGGATCCCCTTGTTAATAAGGACCCAATAAGGTACCCCTAATTTCAGAAACCCCCATTTGGGGGCGTGTACCCCAACGTTTTAACAGGGTTTGCGGGTTTCGAGGGGCTTAGGGCTTCGGGTTCTCATATATGACATTGCCAAGCACAGCACCTCCAAACCTCTAGCATCTAGCAGAACCCAAGCCTCATGGCCCCGCATCCAGAGCCTTTTGGCGTCATGTAGTCCTGAAGCCCATATGAGCCCGAAACCTTAAACTCATCGTCCCAGACCCTATGATACTTCTTCTGGCGTGCTGCGTACAGGCCAGCATACTTTGAAGGAGCTAGAAAAATCTAAACCCGAAACCCTAAAGCCCTGGATCCTAAACCCCAAGCCCCACAGCCCTGAAGCCCCAAAGGCCGCAGAGGCCCTAAAGCCCTCTACCCCCGGGGGTTGTCTTCGTTTCGCCGCGCCGCAAGCAGGGCTTCCGAGGTCACACCCAGTCCTGGCAAGTGGAGATGGGGGGGGGGGGAGGGGGGTGGGGGGAGGGGGTGAACTCGATCTTGTATTGATTTGATAGTGGACGGCTCAGGATTTCGGAGTTGGGGTTTAGTTGTTCACCTACTGGTTCTTAGTGGGGGTATTAGGGAACTTTGTACCCCACACGTATCCCTTTAAGGGCTCTCGGGTACGTATTTCCCGGAGCCCTGTTAAGAGCTATGAGCTGAAAAGCTATAAGTGTAGGACTCTTTTGCGTTTCGAGCTGCTTCGTCGCATCCACTGGCAGCCGCGGAGCGGGCTGCTTGCTAGAACTCGGAGTCCGGTACCCAAACCCCTGACAGCCCTGACAGCCCTGAAAGCCCTGAAAGCCCGAAACCCGCACCCACACCTGAACTCTAAGCCATGAACCCGAAACCCACTTTGATGCCAGTCTTGGGCCCTAATCTTTGTGGTCGTCAACTTGCTCATCAAGATGAAGTGGCAAACTCTTCTATGTAGGCCTCAGCAACCTAGGAATGAACATGCGCCCTCGGGTTATTGAAGGAGCAGTTTCTTTTCTGCAGGGGTTTAGCAGTGCGAAGTCAGCCTAAAACCTCCAATTCCGCACCCCCAAACCAAAGAAACGCTCCCGCACCGTGCACCGCACCATCCTTCGGTGCGCAGCAGCCGCCTACCCCGATTGCTGCCAGAGCAACCGAAAGCTGAAATTCCTTGAGGCCGTAACCCTCAAGCCCAAAGAGGTTCATCGTGTACCCTAAACCCTAAACCCTAAACCCTAAACCCTAAACCCTAAACCCTAAACCCTAAACCCTAAACCCGTGTGTGTACACAAGCATCTCAGGGTTCGTCTAGATTGTCGGAATGAGGCTATGCACCCAACGGCCTCCATGAAGCATCGCTGCATCCACCTGCCAAGCAATGGCCGGAGTGCACGATCCATCCGCAGTGACACCGGCACAGAAAGCTACTCCTGCCATGCCTGCTTCCCCTAATGACCTAGCTCCAGCTCTGGGGTTTCAAAACTCTCCCCTTCTTCTGCCTGGTCCCGCAATTTCAAAAATGCTAAAGCCTCAAAAATCCATGTCAAAGCGCTCTGCTTGTCAGAAAGGCGGACCCACTGCAAACCATCCACTCTCCCGAGTGTAGTCCAGAGTACAATATAGCTACACCTTCTGTTTTTAGGGAGGCGTTGGGGAGGAAACTCTCTCCTGCAACTGTCCGTGGTGGCCACCACCTCCCATCTAAAGGGCCATCGCTTTGTGACTTCGGATTTGCGAACTGGGGGGCGGGGTTTGTTCAACGTTCAACAGATTTTCATCTCCTCACCCCCATAGCCAGACCACCCCCCAAGAGCGTCCATAGTATCTGACAACTAACTATACTTCTCAGAGGAGATTAACCCTCAAATGCCCCATGAACGCTGGGAGCTTGGGTTTTGGTATCCTTGGGCGTGTGAGTCACTGAACCCTGACCCCTGACCCCTGAACCCCGAACCCTGAACCCTGAACCCTGAACCTTGAACCCTGAACCCTGAACCTTGAACCCTAAACCCTAAACCCTAAACCCTGAACCCTAAACCCTCAAGCCATCGGGGTACGAGCTAGCATCCCATGGAGCCTTTGGGAACAGCGCGCCGAAGTCGACGGGTCGTCGCAGCACCAGGAGTCGTTGCTTCTGTGCAGGACTTAAGGCGTAGGGTTCTTACAAGTTTTAGAGGCTTTTGTTGAGAGGTTTTAGGGGCTTTAGGCAGGACTTAGGGAGTAGGGTTCTTACAAGTTTTAGAGGCTTTCGTTTAGAGGTTTTAGGGGCCTTAGGCTTAGGGTTCTTACAAGTTTTAGAGGCTTTTGTTGAGAGGTTGTAAGGGCTTTCGGGGCTTGAGATGTTCTAAAAGTTTCAGGGTTCAGGGTTCTTAGGGTTTCAGATATCCGGCACGGGGAAGTGCCCTAAGCCACAAGCCGTTGAATCGTATGTTCAGTCGTATAGCAACATTCGTTAAGTAATGAGATGACTGCTAGGTATTGGAGTACCCCTTGTACCCTTGTAGGATAAGCATGATAATCCTCGGCCTTTACAATCCATGTACCCATAGAGTCGACACCACAGAGACCCCAAAACGATACACAAAAAACTACGCTCGGGCCCAGCTACTTCCATTGAAAGTGCCTTGATCATTTTGGTGGAAAATTCAACCAAAGCTCTTCGATGGTCACCTCTCACCATACCCCCCCCCCCCCCCCCCCCCCACCCGCCCCTCCCCACAAAAAAGAATAGAACAAATCTAGCTCACTTCCCTGCGAAGCCCGCCAGACCTATGGCCTAAACCCCTTCACCCTCCCGCCTCCTCCAGTTGCTGTATGTCTGGTGGGGGTGCCTCCTCTGGAGGCTGGCCACCGACCTCGGCAAAAGATGAGCCCCCCCTTTGGGCGAGAATTGAAGGTGGCCTTTGCTATTCCTTACGGGTATTCAAGGGGGGACCCTCAGTTTCGGAAACACCCCCCACCCCCCAAGTGGCTTGGGGCTTTAAGAGGTTTTTGGGTTCAGAGGCGCTTCGCCGGCTATGCTGATATGTGCATTGGAGATCAAGCTCTTGTACTGGCATCCCCGAAGAGCCCTTCAACAACCCACGGCACTGCATCCCAAATCCTGGCCTAGCCCCTATGAGGGCGAAGGCCACAAGCACCACGTCCCCTTCCCCTCATACCACTAAACCATCCGATTGTGGTAT